TGCGATACGAGTTCTGTGTTGCATGCCCCTACTGTCTGCAGGGACGTCAAGTGTGTGCAAACCACAGCCAGACCTTGTGCACACACGAAGATTGTTTGCACCTCCTTGAAATAAAACAAGGAGAACGCTTGATCTGCATGAAAAGCTTCAGTGGCAAAGTACTCACAGTTCGTGGTCTGGAAAACTGGTACCCACAAAGAACAAGCCAGGTATGATTTATGAATAAAAAGTAATGTATTTGACAAGTAATAACACCAGTGGTTGACATAGTAGTTCAGCATGGGTGTTACAAAACAAACGCAAGAGGTGTTATCTACCATCATCTATTATTAAGAACTGGATCGTTGGATAATGCAATTCGAGAGTTTTTATTGGCTTAGTCATCATGGGTTGTGAGCTCTTATACCATGCTCTACAAATACGGTAAGTGTACGCGTGATTTTCTGAGCGTTTTTATTTTAGTTTAGCTTTCTATATTTTGGTCGCGTTTTTAATAAAACAATTATTCCACTCGCGCTTGTTGGATATTACACGATTATAGCCAACTCGGCGCTACGCGCTACGTCGATTAAAAAAAATGAACTAATATTTTACCTACGAATCTCGAGATACCCTAAAGTCATTTAGTTTGTTTCTCACTGTCAAAATTACCTCGAAACTGAATATGGAACACAGTGTTAAATTCGGAATATAAATTAAAAAAATTAGCCGTTGTCGTTCACGTTCTCCAAACAACGCGAAATTTGGTCATTTTACGTTGTTGTTTTCCAGAGGACGGCAAAGAAATGTACCAAGAATTATAACGCACGTGCACAGCTGTTGTTCTGCCCATTAAACCTTTTTGTTTAGCGACGTTCCCGTTGCCGTTGCCGTCGTGGTTTTCTGAAACTCCCTAGCATCGCATATCGAACGCGCGCTCGAGGAGTAATCGATAATTAGTATAATTTCCAGAGGTAAATATAATAATTGAACATTCTGATTGGTCGAAAAGCTCATCATATGACGCTATAGTCACCCCGCTAGAGCTTGGTTACTAAGTTCGCCATCTTTGCCATCTCGGCAAGTAAACATGGCGGACAGTTGCTGAATGAAGTTTTCATTTATTCGAAAGACATCACTCCAAGTCCAGGGTATTTGAAAGGATAGAGAATTTTCAAAATGGCTGCTGTCGCCCTTGGACCAAAAATCTTTTCAAGAACTCGTATTCAAGGCTTTTATGAATCGTAAATGCATGACGATAAAACGAAGGTGCTAGATGAATTTATTTTTCGTAGTGTTTCGCTCGTTTGTTTTACTGCCGAACTCGATGAGTAAATTGATTGACTATTGATGTAAACGTTAAAACTAGGGCTGCATACGTGTATGCTCACGAACAATTGCGTCTGTGTTTTTATGTTTTAGTACGTTATTTTGTAGGCCTTAATATTCACCTCTGAAAATTATACTAAAACAGTTATTCGCCTCAGGCTCAGTAAACATTGGTGAATATTCATTTCGACTTCGTCTCGGTGAATATTCACCAATGTTCACTTCGCCTTTGGCGAATAATTATTAGATAGTCGTCACCATTACTTGCCATTAGGGTAGCATTCGAAAGGAAGGATGTGACAGTTATTCAAACAGCTAAAGATCTGTTAAGGTCGCGATCAACAGTAATGGATTCCCCTGTCTTGTTCACATCTGGCAAACCATCGATGAAATTGCCGCAGTTAACTTTTACCTTCATTTGTGTTCACTTTGGCTTTCGTGACGCGCAGCCAAATAAACCAAGTTGGAAAAAAAAAAGTGATGCAGTCTTACATTGCAAGAGAAGTGCATTTCATGCCCGCTTACAATATATACCGAGAAAATTGGCTGCGATGCATTTTTATTAAGACGTTTTCATTTTCTTGTAGGATTTATGTCTTTCCTCTGGAGCCGGCACATCTCAGGGCGAGCCAGCACAAGATAATCCAGGGACGTCCGAAAGAGCTTTGAAAGTAACTCTCTTAGGCAGTGAGTGGAGGTCGAAAAAAGGAGGATTGTCAACCGTAAACAGAAAGCTTGCCTTCCAGCTGGCAGAGCACATGGAAGTAGAAGTCACTCTATTAGTCCCACCGTCAGCCTGTTCTGAAGAAGAAAGGATAGACGCCAAGAGCCACGACATTGCCATTAGAGAAGCAGAGAGACTCGTGGGCTACGACTCCCTTGAATGTTTGATTGTCCCACCCGGAGACCTTGCCATTGACATCGTTCTGGGTCATGGAGCGAAGCTTGGTAAACAAGTCCAAGTCATTAAAAAATCGCACAGTTGTAAGTGGGTCCAGGTAGTGCATACTGCGCCTGAAGAACTGGGAATGTACAAGAACTATTCAAAGGCGATTTCCAAAGGTGAAGAGAAGCACAGAACAGAGGTAGACTTGTGCAAGTTAGCAAATCTTGTTGTAGCTGTTGGACCCAAGTTGAAGGACGCCTACACTGCTTACCTGGGATCTTGCGAAGAACACCAAGATGTCATTCAGCTGACTCCTGGTATTTTCAGAGAATTTTCAGTCGTAAGGAAAGCCAC